AAATAAAAAGAGTGTAGTGCTGGAGCTGGAATTTCTGACAACAGCTGAGAATAAGGAAATATTTGGGGGTGGGATGGTGGAAAAGGGGCTGGAAGAGGGGAGTAGGGAGGCGGTTGGACCTTTTCCGGTAGTTCCTCTACCTTGGTAGCAGGTGAGAAAAAACCAGTGTTAGAGGAGCTGTTGCAATCTACAATAGCTCAGGGAGTGGTCAGGTTTAATTTTCCAGATGAAAAAAAGGCTGAGGAGCAAGAACTCCCAGCAAAGGAGAACCATGAGTCATAAGGAGGGAGAAGTCAGGCAGGAAGCTGTTAGCAACACACTCACATGACCCTGAAAGAAAAGTATGTTAACATATTATCAGGGGTGAATGGAAGAGCCTTTGAGCCTGGGGTCGTTTATACCTGACCTACCCTGGGGGAATTAACTGTCTTTTCTTGGGGACCAGGGAGAAGAAATAAACAGTTGGAGTCCAACTATAGACTATAGAACATAAGGCCAGGAGGGACCTCAGGGGTCATCCAGTCCCACCTGTCATTTTGCGACAGTAAAGTGAGGCCCGGCTAAGAGAAGGGTGGCTGCCAGAAGCTCTCAGCTGAATGGGCACCTTCTCCTCCACCAAGTCCCTGGGCCTTTCAGACGCTTAAAAATCGGGAGAAGAGTTCTCTGGGAGCATCCATTCTTAACACTGACTGGCTCTTAGAATAAGATCAGTCCCAAACATTTACAGATAAAAACCGTGACCCATGAACACCATTGTCACAATCATTTACAAGAGATTAGCGTTTAGAGCATACCATACCGAAAATGAAGCAACTGGCCTATTACAGCAGTTGGCTTGCGATTGATTTTGCTTTTGGCTCAACTTTGCTTTATTATTGCTTTAGTATTGTTTGCAAAACAAACCTCAGGGAAAGAAGTGCTTGAGGAGCGGACTTCCGGGATTCCCTTCATCTCAGGACTGCTCATTGTATTGGTTTTCTGTCCCTGCCATAATAACTAACCAAGTAAACGCCTTAAAACAACACAAATGTATTCTATTACGGTTCTATAGGGGAGAAGCATAACTGGGGTCTCACTGAGCTAAAATCAGGGTGCGGTCAGGGCTGGTTCCTTCTGGAGGCTGTAGGAAGAATCTGTTTCCTTGCCTTCTGCTTCTGGAAGCTGACTTGTGGTCCCATCCTCAATCTTTGAGGCCAGCGACATTGCATCTCT